AAAAGGCTCCAGGCCAGTTGGCAAAGTGAAGCTAAGATTGGTAATATACTATAATAGACACTATTATAGGGAAGTCCCTGGATTTCCCCAGCCCGGCCTTTCTTCAGTGGGTCGAAATCTGCGAAGGAGTCCCAGAGGCGCACACGGTGGGTGTGCAAATGCGATTGCAGAATCTGCCTCAATAAAATGCTCTGATTCACGCGCTTTGGTGTCTGCACGACTTTCTCTTCTCACGGCGGGAGCATGAAGGGGTAGTAATTAGGCAACAATGCATGGAGTTCAACAACTGGCTTGCTCCCATAGGGTAAACGCCCGGCTGCATGACATCGACCTTGGACTTAGATGGCCGGGCATGAGCCGTCTGTGGCCGCGCGGGAAGGTCTGCGCGAGGGGGCCTGGCACTGTATCAGTAAGAGCCATGCCAAGTAAGTGTGCACTGAAGCTCTATGAAAGTGTTGACCAAGTAGGCTGAGAAATACGCAAGGGGCGAAAATACTTAGCTCAGCTCATAACATACAAGAGGAAAGTACGATGCTTTCTGAGTTCTGTGCCTGCAGGAGCACCTCGCTAGAAACCAAACATAATCTAAGCAGCAGGAGGCATTCATCAAAATCCTGGCTGGCAGCATGCACCGAGGTTGCTTGAAATGACTACATACATGGCATATTGATAACAACTTGGGCCTGGCAGAGTGTGCCGCATCATGCAACTATGATATGTTGGGGGCTACCAAATCGGACCCTCATCTGCACGTCTATCTACAGGCATTGGCATTCCTCAAGATGAACGTCCCCTTTCTGCTCCGAAACTAACAAAAAGTCTTCCAGGGGGGACATAAGCTTGTGTGAAAGCAGCACCCTGAACCCTAAGACCTGTATCGCGTTGGCTTCATTTCCAGGGTCTGTTTGGCCTTGACTCACGCGCTGTTTGCGGTCGTTTTGGAGTCTGTGTCTTCTCGCTCGAGAACTCGCTGCCCTGGTGGATCACTATCAGGAAGGTCAAGACTGTTTAAGTGGAGAATACGGGTAACGTCGGGATTGGCAAGATGAAGGATTAGCGTTCAAGGCTTGAGGCTCTAGGGTTGCGCTGGGCAGTGGGGTGGCGGCCCATTATAGTTCATCTTATGGCAGAACGAGTTGCGTTTAAGCTTGTATTCAGCTACAAGCGTCTGGGCAGAGCACTTCTCTTATCGTCGCAACATCGAATTGTTTGCAGTGATTCTGAAGCATGTCCAGTGCACATAGCTGTCTATTGCAGAATGCAGGAGAAGTACTGGGAAGTGGACTGGTCGCACATTCTGCGCACTGTAATTCCTAAAAAAGGAATTACCAGCCCACGGAAATTGGCTCCTCTACAAAAAAATCGCACAGCAAAAGATTCATGTGTTGCGCCCCCTGTAACCTTCCGTTTTGTTAACACACCTCTGATCACCTCTGTCTCAACCACGAAGGCACTGCCTGCGTTCTGGTGGGACGGGCACTTTGCGGACGTGGCCGGCCTCTGTTGCTGGATTGCTCGGCAGTTCCAAAAAATCAAAAGCCTGGCGGTCCACCCTAGATCAAGTTGTGCAAGCTCCTTTCTTGACGACTTGCTTGGTGTGGTGTCATGACTGTTCAGAATTGGCCTGAAGTTCGGTTGGAGAAAGCTACACCATGAACTCTGCCCAAGTTTGGCCAAGGTGGCGTTGCAACGGAAAGCCGGCCGAAGTTGATGTGAGCGGATAACCTGAATTTTCAGCATTGCAACACGGCACATGGAGTGGCCGAGGTGTTTGGGTCGTATTGCCTCCATTTATATATCTGCAGGCAGGTACTGTACCGGAGTACATCCCACGGTAACCCCAGAGCAACTCAATTTTGACTGTTCGTGGGCACATCCACATACACTCCGTCAGAAGGCCCGCTCAGGGATTAAGGTAAAGGCCCTGATCCAGTCATTCTCTGGAACCGGCTGAGGAATATGAGAACATTATACTTCTGAGTCAACAGAAGAAATTCCAATATGTGCCCGATCCTTGTGCCATTCTACTTTGCCAACTAACCTGCACAACCCTCTAAAGGCCCTTCATTATTCATCCGCAGCTGCCGGGTTAGGTGTGTTTGTTGGGTTGGAATTGTAGTTCTGCATGATGATCCGCAGAATTGTACGGGAAGTCTTCATTGTCCTCCTTTAGTCTATTGCAAACATCCCTTGCAGTTTGTCACACTTCAGATGCATTTGTCTTGCAACCTCCGCATGGTTAGTTTCAACCCATGACGAAGCACAAAGTTTAGTTCCAGTTCGGATGTTAACCGTTGCGGCAATCAGTGTACCCCGCCCATTTTTGTTGAAAAGTGGTTGATCCCCACCAAATTCCCAACACCCCTAAAACCTACATTAAGCCCTTTTGACCTCCAAAATCCAAACCCCTGATGAATCCCTTTAGCCCCAAGTCTCTACATTCAAAGGCCCAGGGGCCATAGGAGGGCTCCGGGGGCTTCATCCCGAGGACTGCTTCCTCAGACCATCCCAGTGCATGGACTTACTGGTGGTTAGTAGCGGAAAAAGGAATATGATCCCTATGTACTCCCTGTAACACATATTCCTTTGCAGTATTCCCGACTAATTCTCAGCAAGTGGAAGGCTTTGTTGTGGAGGTTCTCTTTCGTCAAGGGTTTCAGAACAGGATTGGCAGGTGCAGTTTTTTTCTTTGAAGCCCCGACAAGCACATGGCAGCTGCTTGTTACAAGACTTTTGCACAACATGTGTGCCCAAATCCTTGTTTAGTTCCTCTGAAGTTCTTCCAGTTGTTGCTGCGTCCCTCTTACAGCCTAAGACTGGTAAGACTAGCTTCAAGAGGGTTTTTGCCACAGCCTGCCATGGAAGCAACGCAAGAAACAAGAAGCACGCATGCCACATGTTGTTTGTTCATCCATTTGAAGCAACACCAACTTAAAGGCAGAGCTCCTCCATTTCTTTCTGGAAGGCGAAAACGCGGAAATAACCGTCTTGGTCGGTGAAGCGGTCAAGGAGGGGTTGCACCTCCAACGAAATGGAATGGCAATCCTATGCCTGTTGCTAAAGGATCAGAGTCTCCGGTTTCTCTTGGGCAAACTGGCCTATGCAACAAAGAGCAAATCGTAAAACATGCGCAGCAGCTTCAATAAGGCTTCCAAATGCTGGAGACGGCAAAGCTAACCTTGAGACCCGGCTTAAGCTCAAACTCCCAAGAGTTAGCCAAGACAAGCATGCTGCTTCGGGTGCCCACATCCACCTCAGCAGCTGAGAGGGCGCTAGGGATGCTAGGCGTTGTCCGAGTCAGAGGAAAGATCCTGCCGCACGGGGCTTGCTGCCTTGGAGGGATGCCATGACCCTAACAATAATCGTAGTAATAATAATAGTAATAACAATAATGGCAATACATAGCAATACAATAATAGATAGTAATAGCAATAATAGTAATAGTATAATCAGTAATAGGAAGTAAAAGCAGACAGCGGGAGCACTGCCAACGGGTTTTCATATTGGTTGACCACACGTTCAGCGGGAAGATGATCCACAGCCTTACCTTAGGCTCCCTTCATTGGTCTCTGAAGATTTAGTGCTGGATTATTGCGGATGGTTAAATTAAAGGCCAAGAATGTCCGTATATCTAATATCTAGCAACATTCAAGCGCAAGAGATATGTCCGCGTAGTAGGCCGGGCATGCGTTGGTTTTGAGCTTTCTATGCTGGCTGATCCAGGCAGCAACTGCAAGGGAAGAAGCCTCCCATAAAAAGCTGCATGACAAATGAATGCCTATAGGAGCTCTGCTGCAGTTGAGGATTGAAAGGATTTCATGGTGCTGGACGTGCTGGAAAAACAGCGACTCGGAGGGACTTTGCAGAAGAATGGATGAAGCAAATGTCGTGGGCAGCATGGCTTGCTGCCCCAATTTCTACTATTGCTATTATTCCTATTCACTTTGGGAATGTTAGGATTGTAGTATTATTCTTTACTCGTATGACCAGTTCATTCGTGCACTTTGACGGTAGCACTGGAAGGGTAGAATGAGTGCAGTGGGCATGGGGCTGATGAATAAGCCATAGTTTTTCGTCCGGTTAACCGGAAAGCAGCTGACTTGGCTGCGCCAATCTTTGCAGGCTGGATGAGGTCAAGCAGATAGGTGGTCAGACAATCAGAAACACTCCATTCTGCAATGTTTAGGCACGAGGTCCGTCGCGGGGGTCCCAGCAAACGTATCCAGCTGCGGGATGGTGATGTTTAGACACGCGCATCGCGCAGCAGTGCAGGCACGGCAATGACTCTCTGTCCGGGGCAGCACCAGCACATTGACTGGGACTAGGCTAAGCAGGACAACCAGCTAACTACTCCAAGCAAAAGCAGTACACAGCAACAGGCACTTCACTACGCTAGCGGACGACTCTGCTCTGCTGCTGATGTCTCAGGCCATCTCTCAGTACTCGGACTGGAACATGTTTAGACACGCGCATCGCACAAGCAAGCATGGCAAATACTGTCCAGTCCGGAGCTACACCACAACTACACACTACCAACACTAACAACTACGCGCCGCAAGATGCCGCAAGGCTTCCCCAGACACTCAGTACAGCTCCCGGAGGCGAACATCACACGTCTGTAAGCCACAACAGCAGGAAATTCCAGCTTGCACGGCATACTGGGTTTTAGGCTTTAGGGCGACATCCTGCATGAGTTCGCTCAGGGTTTCAGAAGTCGGCCTAAATATTCACCATGTATAGCTCTATCTTCGGCTCACACAGTTCACCGGTCTGCATATTTCGACATAAAAAGGCAGGGTATGCAAGACAGGGATAGCCTGCATGCAAGTCCATTAGCCCCGGGGAGCTATCCAGGCATCCTTCCCCATGATATTCCACCGCCTCACCCCCTAAACAACAGATTCCCAATGTATTCTACCATTACGATACAAGGAATTGCTGTTACGATGAGGGTGGAGATTTTGCGAGGGGGTGGGGGGGTGGTGTCCAAAGAAACCGTCCTGAGGAAGTGGTCAGGCTGGATCCGTCCAGCGCGCGCCTCGAGGCTGGACCAGTAGCCTCGCCATGTGTACTTTAATCTGAACTCCTTAAAGGGGGGTTATATAGGGGACAATTTTTGGAGTTTAGACCATAACTCACGTGTACCCAAAGGCTTCATGTTGGTCTTTTTGGCCTTTGTGATGTTTTTTTTCTTTTCGTAAGGGAGTAGGTTTATATCATGCGCCATACAAAAATACTACGTTGGAGCCCTCGGGTAGAACTCAACTCAAACCGTAAGAAGCTCTATCTTTAGATCAGTGTTACTGAGCCTATACAAAAGCTCTTTAGGAATCCAGGGGCTGTTTAGGAATCTGGGGATACATGAGGATTACAGGGCCCCATACGTGTCATCTGGAAGCCCTCCCATATCCCATAGCCCACGTCCTACGTGAAGTCCCACATAACAACGAGCCAGCAGCTGTCATCCAGTGAGGTGGCCAAGTTGATACCTGGCGGAGGTGACCCAAACATGACAACGAGGCTCTTCAGCCCACGAAGGCAAAGTGGTAGCAACGTTTTACATATAAGAAGTGTGATGCCAGTACCCCGTGAACCTTACTCGCCTTTGTTTCTAAAGCTCCTCCTGCTGCTTGCCGTCTTGCCATGGGGGTTTAGCGCGTATCATGGCAGCCGATCGAATAATTGCAAAGTACGTTTTTGGTGCATGGAGGTGCTTCTGCTGACTTTTGCCACTAAAGTTTGGGAATGGGAGTTCCTTGAGGGGAGTATCCCTTGTTCTGCATCAATCGGGGAGATGTATGACGCTTCATTTTGAAGCTCCTCATGAGATTTCTTACGGAAACCCTAAACCCAACATGTCCCTATATGACCCAGTCTATTCTTAGATGGTAGTTTCCACACATAGGGGGACCCCACTGTAGAGCCCGAAAGACTATAATCCCTTGTATGTTCGTGACTGTGGCCTCGTGCTTCGCAAAGGACACCGATTCGCTGGAGGAGCTTCTGGTAGCTTTCCTTGAAGCATGGAACCAGGTCTGTATATGGGGTCTTGAATAATTGGGGGCCAAAATATCCCCACATATACTAACCCTAACTTATGGACCCACCCTATCAAAGTTCTTATGGTTTTGAAGCCTTTGCCAGCACAGACGTCCTACAACACAAAATGAAAATGCCTGGCAAGTGCTGCAGACTGGATAGTGTGAGCACTGAAGCTACTCGGGCAAATGAAGAAACAATTGCGGGTTTTCTACCACCTGCCTCTATAATACCCTCTATAAGTTCTCCCTGAATCGGCCTTGAGGAACCTTGGGGGGGTAGTGTAGAGCGGGTCCGCAAGACATGGAAGGCATCTTTGTTGTGATGAAGGAGCTCTTTTTAAGAACTCCCAGGTCAGCATCCACATTGAAAGAATATTGCCAAGCGACAGGATCTGCCGGAGGCTTCGGATCAAAGCTCTTGACCACATCTGGGCATCTGAATATTGGGATAATGGAAAAGAAAATGGAAACTACTATAGTATATTGGGGTTATATAGGGATAATGGAAAAGAAAATGGAAACTACTATAGTATATTGGGGTTATATATTCATCCAGCAATGCAGGTAATCAATGAACAAAATGATCAATTGGGGGATTGCTGCTCGGTCTGCATAGTCGTGGGAGTGGAGTCAGTATGGTTGTGGTATACTGTATACCTTTGTGGACTTCTTGTGTTACGAAGCGCCATGACTCAGTCTTCGCATGTGGGATGAAAGTTGTTGGTCTCGGTGGCCAATGCTTTCAAACAAAAATCCTGGGTACTGCTCCCATCCAAGAACAGTCAGGTAACAAGGATCGTACTAAATACGTAAGTACAACCCAGGAATATTCCATTACAAAGTGCTACTGGGTTGGGGCAGTACCCAGCCAAAATCCTACATTCACCCAGACATCTCAAAGGCCACACTTTAAACCTTTGAGAAAGGTCTCAGCAAATGAGAATGAACAGGCTATACGCCCTAGCTAGATATCCATCTTACCTGACGCTACGGTTCAAATCCTAATCGCGCTAGGTCTAAGTAGAAGCCGCGCCTGACCCAAACCCCACACTTTGGATGGGCTCTCAGGCCCTAAACGTTGAGCCCTTCGGCCCCAAAGTCTCACGTTGCCAAGTAGCCATGCCCTGGTGGATGAACTTCCGCACGCGGCGTCTTCTCCAAGAAGTGCGATGTAAAGACAGCTTCTACCTTCCCAGCATCCAAGGCATGATACAAAACGACAACAGCAATGTTAGTAAGCTTATAGTCCCCCTTAAGTAGATAGAATATGGCTTTGGGTATATTATAATAAGACCCCCATATACCCCATATTCTATCTACTTAAGGGGGACTATAGCGGCAGACAGAGAATATGGACTCCAGCTTCTAGGGCTTTGATTTGACCGCTTGACTTGAAGCGCAGACCCATTGATTTCAGCCAATTAACTCTGGTCATTTGAAATACAATTCCTAAGGGTCCAAATAGCCCAATGTAGGTAATATGTGTAGGCTTTAGGCCCAGTGTTGATGTTATTTATATACTTGGATCCCTAGGGAATGACAAAACATGTAGTTCCAGGAGTGAGCTGGCTGACGACTAGTGAGGCACATCTGAGCGGTTTGGGCGCGAACGACCTGCTTGCTAAACCAAAGAACCAAACAATACGCGTATAGTGAAGCAGTGCTCATGGTCATCTTATGTACTGCCCACGACAGATGCAGAAGCCGGAATGATGAGATACCTACAGTATCCCTAAGGGTCCAAGGACCCAAATAATAGGGTTTTAGGGCCCAAATACTATAATATTAATGGTATTTGGGCCCTAAATTCCTATTATTTGGGTCCTTGACCCCTTAGGGTATCCTTTCTACCTCATTACTCCTTTGAATCTGCATTGTTTGCCTCTGCCAGCCGTACCTCCCTCGAGGTTCCGGGTCTCTCAAGGAAAGCCCAGGTCTCCCTACACCCTATAGTCCCAACATAACCCAAATATAGTAGTTTCCTAGTTCCTTTACCATTATCCCATATTATCCCTATACAACCCCATTCTAACCCCAATAAAGCTTGACCAATGACTGCTTTCATTATCTCATGCCGCAACCGGTACAAGCCCCCCAAGCCACCTCCAGGCAGAAGCGGCCGAAATCCACCAGGAAAGGCTGGCCGGCAAGACGGGGGAAGAACTCGAAATGCTCGGCCAAAACCTGCACAGAGATCATTGTTAGCAATACTATTGTTATCCACCTTGCTGCTACCATTCAGAGACGGCGGGGTGCTTCAAACAGGGGCCAGGGCGCCCCAGCAATCTTAATCTTACGAAGGGATTGCAGGGCGTCCCGTTTTGCCGATCCTGTTTTGCCAATCCCAAGCCAGGGAGTTGGGAAGCTTGCAATATTGGCTCCCCCCCTTACACGGTATGCTTCTCCAAAAGGAATGAATGGAATAGCCTCCACTACAATCCCGGTAGAATCGTTGCCGATCACATTCTGCTCCCCGGATTTGGGAGTTATAACCATGTCAGCAGACACACCCCAAAAGAAACAGCTTCCCTGCCAGTGCATGAAACACACACCGTTTATTTCAAACTTGCTGTATTGAGATAGGGCCAGGGCTGCGGGAGCATTAGAGAAAGAGCTGTGACTTGCTGCTTTGGTGGGCCATGCGACCAGTATTGCCTCTGTATCGATTGGCATCTGCGGGTCGTGGAGTTGTCGCGGGGCCATAATACCCGTCAGCCCCCGAAGAAACTGGTCTCCTCAGCGTTCATATAGATTGACACGTTCCGTGAGAACTGGAACTGCTACAAGTGCAAATACGCTGATACCATTGCACATGCTCGTGTATTATTCCTGGCGAAGACCTGTTCTCATAACGTATGAAGATGTTCTTGCACCTGAATCGCCCGCATGAAGCCTATACAACTTTCTACAACCAGCCTGACTAGACCCTTCTCAGCTGGAAGTCGAGTACACCTGCCATAGTTCAGCTTGTCAAAGTCTTTGAAAAACCTGGGCATGTTTCTGGGGTTAGACGATTCTCAGGCGCTGGTCACATCTATGGTCTTCAAGGAGTCTCCGACAAATGCACTTATGTGGAGGGATCACGTTAACAATCACTCCCTGGATGCAAACCCATTACAAATGGTCCCAACAGTGACCCTGGAAGCTCATTGACTAGTTCTGTTCTTACAGGCAAGACAGCCTGGGGGTCTAGGCTGTCGGTTTTCTTGTGGGTCGGCATGTTACCAAACTCCTGCTCCTGCCCCTCAGGTCCTAGAAGGCATAAGAGATCAAAAAAGCTCGAGCACTGTCATCTATCTCCCACAGTCTTGAGGGACTCAGAGAGCCCCACGCGCCTATCCAGGGGCCCCCAAAAAGAACCTACCTTCCACATGTAGTAGATTACTTTAAAGGCCCCCAAGCTCAATCATTAAGAAACATGATAAACAAATCCTAAGATACCAACTAGGAAAGGTTTGGATCCACGGCAACCATGGAACTCTTTTGGCCGGATTTTGCGCTGGAAGACGTGGAGCTTGATGCGATGCATACACTCGCTCACCTGACAATAACTGGAAGTGAAACTGACGAGCCAACAACGATCAAGCACGATTTTGAGAATTACTTCTACAATCCCCGTATAGCCACTACAGTATGCCCCTGAGGCCCCTTTTTGCAACAGGCTTGGGATGAATGCCGCCTACAGGGGCCCTAGACAATCCACCAGAAAGGACTATTAACACAAAAGCCATGAAAACTGATGGACATAGTAGTTTCCATTTTATTTTCCATTATCCCAATAGAACCCCAATATGACCCTAATATAAAACCCTAACCCTAATATACTTGGGGTGCCTCCTGCGGTCTTCGCCGTAGCCGGCTCGGTGCCGAGCTCGGCCGAGGTCGAAAGCGGCGACCTTCTCTGGCTACATGGTATCTTGGGTCGAAAAGGGGTATGTAGGGTGTATAGGGGCATTTAATGGAACGGACAAGAGAATGGAAACTTTGGGGCATACGTTGGGAGTATGTAGGGGGAATACATAGGAATACATCGCCAGGAAAAAAGTTTCGACCTACTGGGGCCTCGGGGCTTAAGAGGAGGACCAACATGCAGAAAGACCGTGAGCAGTATGGGCCATGTTGCGGAGTCAATTATTACCCTGCTTTAAAGTTATTCTACTTTAAGCTTCCAGCGGAGTCCCCATGGTGCTCAGTTACGGGAGAAGCAGGGTCTGCTTGTATTGTAGGTCTGAAATAGCAAGTGGGCCGAACTTTCGTCCTACTGCAGTATTGGGACTGGATGGACAGATAGAGAGGTAGATACTGGCCAGATCATAATTTCAAACCAGCCAAACAATTTTGGTATTACTATCTAAGCCATTTTGGGTGAGGTCGGGCAGATAGGTTGACAGGTAGAGCAACATGTCTGTACGCATGTATGACGGATGAATTTCTACCCAGGTGTTCGCGGTTAAGTGCAACTTGACTAAACTTTGGACTGAGCCCACCGGTCAACTAACCGTGGATTTTTAAATCCCGTCAATGGGTGAACATTGTGCTGCAATACTTCAAGGTTTGGTCAAGGGCTTGCTAGGCCCCCAGTCCAAGAAAGCTTGCTCAGAGGACACAAGGCACTGTGAGCTTAGAACAGCTTATACTGCATGCAGTCTTGGATGATGATGTGTTGGACAAAGCGAAGCAAGTTGTTTATTGTCGTCTGTGAAGAGGGAAACTTTAGTCGGTGGATCGGCCCTTCATCTTCTTCCTCCTCAAGCTCGCCACCGCCAGTAATCATTATCACAAATAAGCTCGCCAATGCATCCAAAGCACACTCAAATGCCGGTCCCGCGCGCAGGTGTGGTGCTTTGGGAGTTGGAGACTTTGGTTCCGGCACTGCCGCTGCCGGAATGGCTATAACCTGCAAGTGTTTGGATCAAGACTTGACGCTTTGAGCCCATCTGCATGCCACGACCTTTACACTTTGTAGTGGTCCTTCACTGACAGGACAGAGATCACGCAAGAGAGTAGAGCTTGCAAGACATCCATTTATTCCTTAACTAGATGGAATGAAGATTCTTCATGCTGCAAGATGGCCACAGCCTTCTAGCCGCCAAAAGGCTTGAATTCACCTCCTTCGTCTCTGTGGAAAAGCATGCCAAGTAAGAAGGGTATCAAACCGCGCCTCATCTGCTTCAGGTGTAAAGTCTGCGGCTCCGTTGCCGGGCTCAACATCCGGCGACACAAAGACCTGCTTCCACTCTTGGCGGCGCTCCCTAAATCTCGTCTAGGCCGGGTAAAATTCCGACGCACCATTGTAATATATGAGCCTGAGGCTTCCTCCTGAGCACAGCATGCTAACATCAAAGCCAAGCCTCACCGAAAAGCCTGAACCAGTTTTGCAATGGGCCCAGGAGTCCGAGATCTTAGGGAGAAGCCTTCCAACTAGCGCCTGCAGTAGGGATTCAGGCCGACGATGCGAAAAAGCTACTGTGACAATGGGACGAATGATATGAACAAGCCGTCTTCGAGGCTGCTGCTGCTGCTGCTGCTGCTGCTACTGCTGGCAGTGGTGAGAGGAATCGCCATCACCATCACCACAATCATGCACGCTCTCTCAGTCTGAGGCTTCAGCAGAGCCACCAATAGCAGCGAATGGTGATAGCACTAGACATTCCCACAAGGAAGGCACTTCAGCCACCCAAAGCCACAGGCTCACGCCCTATCACTATGCCCAGCACCCTGTCAAGAAGATCTGACAACTCGACTACTGACCAATAGGGCTCACGCGACTACTTCCATCAACGTTAAACTAGCGCCATCCTACTGCGATTCTCAAATGCAAGTTACGATGGCTGTTGATATTGTTAATTCTGCTGATCTTGTTGTTGTTCTTTCAGCATATAGTCCCCCTTAAGTAGATAGAAGATGGCTTTGGGTATATTTTAATAAGATCCCCATTTACCCCATATTCTGTCTACTTAAGGGTGACTAGATTTCAGCCATTTTGTAGCCAAGCAGCGGCTTGGGTCATAGATACAGGGGAGAAGGGCTCCTCATCCACTACCTCCTCATCTTCGTCAGCCGGGAGGTCTTCATTCTCCTTGCCCGGGACACGAATAGCGTGTAGTCTGGCTTCAAAAACAACAGCAGTAATCGCCACAATCATAATCGGGATATATTGCAGAAAGACGGAATCTTGCTCCATAACGAATAGCTTAGAGCATCTTTCAACTACTTGCGCTATATCTATCTAAACATCCCTGCTCCGTGCGATGTGCAACCTTAAACTAAACTAGGAGATTTCATGCATCATGTCATGCGGAGCCCTGGCCTCATCGTAACGCGTGGAGTCCGTCAGCTCCATCGCCCCTTTCACATCCTGAACCTCCGGCTACAGAAGGAGCGTGCACTTCCATGCTTCTCTTTGGATAACACTGCAAGCATTAAAACGATGTAAGGGAAGTCCAGCATCACATAAGTACACACAGTTCATTTTTCCAAGTCTTGAAAGATGCCCATTCTAATGGCAAACTTGGTACCGTTGGATCTGGCAGAGATATTAGATGATCATCTTCTGCAGGTTTGTATTTGAGCAACTACCCTATCATCCACACTAAGTCTTCTCCGTCCCAGGACTGGCACGAAAACTGGCCACCACATTTCCGCAGACCACCTTAATCCTCAAGTTTCTTTCTGCTGCAGATCTTTGTTGTCCGTTCGATGTCTCTGTCTGAAGCTCCGATCTGCATACCTACTAAGCTAGGAAGCTGGCCTGACAAAGTGGAATCTGTAAAATGTCTGCCACATCTTCCGGCGCCACATTCCGTGCCAGCATACCTGATCTTGGGACTTTACTAGGTGGATTGTCGATCTGGTAAGTGCTTGTCCCGTTGTCCAGGTTCCTAGTCAGATTCAAGCTGGTGTATTGAAGGAGATTAAGCTTGCGCTGACATGCAAAGCACTGTTGCAGGACTCAGTGTTTTGGGTTTGTGGCCCGTCGTCCCATTTTCATTTTCTGCTTTGCACTAAGCGAAGTAGTGCACCGCTTGCAGCTTTAGATAGCACATTGCATTTTAAGTGACGCTGGGTCAGCACCGGCGTTTGGTCCTGCAAAGGGGCAGCAAGCATTGCGTGCAAGGTGATGCTCTGAAGCTGAACCACCCCGGGACAGCTAGAACACGCCATTCTGCACACCTCCCTGAAAAGGTCCTGCTCCAAGTCCATGAGTCTCATCACGCCTTCTGGGAGACCTCACCCCGCGCCCTTGTGAGCCAGGCCATAAAGGCCTTGAGCCAAAGAACGTCCCGAAGTGACCTCTCAATTAGTGCAACTCATCCAAGAGGGACGTGGTGGCCGAGTCTGTGCGAAAGAAGAGCTACCTTGCAGCATGCACAAGCTGGGACCAACCTGATAGGAGTTCTTCGAGCACACATGCTGGCTGGGCCCAGCATCGGCAAGCGCATCTACCTAAGTAGAGGCATCAGGCCTTTTTTTCCATCAGGTGGTGCAGAATGCAATTCTTCCACACATAGATCAGGGGCTACCTGACACTCTGAAGCCTCATGAATGATCCTTGTAGCCCAGTCTCCAAGCTCCCAAACTGCCAGTCGCAAGCATGAAGCCTATGCAACATTGGAACGGATGAAGCTAAGCTGCCCCAAAGCCCGGCAATGGCTCAGCGCCAGTGCAGTGCTGCGTCCTGGCCTGAACAAAGTCTTTAGGATGGCGCCATGCTGGATTGCAGTAAAGTTCCCCCCCCCCAGGGCTGTGATCCTCTTCTTGCTTGATGCAAACAGCATCTATCCCATGGGATATGTGCTGCGGACCGGCTGAGAGGGCTACATACCGAGCCAGCTCCAAGTTGAGTTGCAGCTTGGCAAGCATGCTTGCCAATGTGGCAATGACCAAGCCTCACTTTGAAGCCCTCGCCTCCTGCGTCGACCGATGGGATCTGCCAGACTTCCCAGAGTGCGAGCTTCGGCCTACGTAGCGCAAAGCCAGACATGCATGCAAGCACCAGTCTGAACAAACAGACGACATACTTCCAGGGCACACAAAACTTTGCAGTCTTGGGGCATGTTATTGTATAACAGGACTCTCCCAGGCATGATTTCAGGCTTCTACAATGCTTGGGTCCCGTGGGAAAGATTGGGCTTCAGGCGGCTGCGGCCAGTGTTCGGGGCACTGACATCCTCGGCGCTAAGGCGATCCAAAGCCACCTGGTCAGATACCGAGAGATGTGACAAGCTGATCACCAAATCGGTGAAACATGGAACGGGATACTCCCGGGGACCCCGGGGATGATTGTCGGGCTTACCCATAGATGAGTTAACAAAATCTCGGGGGCCCGGCCTGACGGTTAAAGAGCAGGCAATGGTCCAAAAATTGTTACATTGTGGGATATTGGGGCTGGGAGACGTTGCGATCACTTTAGATACACACACGCCTGGTTTGCAGCGCATGTTGATAGCTTGAAGCTTAGGACCCGGTTTGAGGTATTCAAAATGCCGCCAGAAAGGCCCCAGTCACATCACTGTACAGTATCTCCCGCTGCAACCCACGGAAGCTTCTGCCAAGATCTGGGATCCTGTGTCAGCTGAGCTCATAAGCCCGACATGGGCCCGCACCGCAGCGGGCAAGCCAAAGACCGGTAGGGACGTCTCTTCCTGGGCTCTGTGGACACGTGCGAACATCTTAGCCCTCGCAAGCACCAGCACTACTTCTGCCTTGGCGGCTGCTGCAGTAACTACCATAGGGCTTCTAATTACTGCTGCCACTCCCGCTGCAGAACTGCAGAGTTTATGGCATGTCTCCTGTTTGTCGTCATTGAGGTCTGGGACTAGCTTTTTTGGCAGGAACTGCCCTTCATCAGTGCTGGCCCTTCCTGTGAAATGCATGATTCAGGGCTGCCCGACTTTATCTTCGAATACGTGCAATTCTGTAGGGGATGGGAAAAACGCCTTGGTCATACATTATGTAAGTGTGTACTAGGGCTGGCAGGGCGCTAGAAGCTGCACAAGAAACTCTCACACATCTTGAGACAGCCAAGTCCGAAACAAGACACACTTCATGGATGCGGGGTTGGGGTCACACAAACAGCGTGCACAATACGGCACGTGTAATTGGGTGTCATAACAGTCCGCTTCGGGAAACTAAGATCGATCTGGCTTTCAGGTCCGGTCTTTCTTTAGCTCGATGTCTTGCTTTGATCCCAAGGCTGCGCAGCTTCCTAGTGAAGGGCAACCTGTGAAGATCAACATGTTCTTGCATACAGCCTTGTTCCTGGTCCTGCAATGAGGGAAAGAAAGCAATTGCTACCAGGCAGGCGAAAAACAATGCACTAGTCTTATGTCACTGTAGCATACTGCATAACAATTGAATGCTTCATCATCATATTCTTCTCGAAAACAAAATTTGAATGGAAGTTCTCACATGCCATCTGAGATTACACAGCCTGAAGCCTCAGCTCTGGGCGGGTGCTGGCATGCCTAGGCAAGAAGAAGTACAAACAACAGCCCTTTGCAGCAACATGGAAAAACAAAGTTCGAAGCAGAAGACGAGCAAGGCTAACCTCTGTCTGCACTTTTTCATTCTGGCCATGCAGCTGGATTCTTTGGTCTAACTTTTCAAGTGAGACTTAGCGCTGTTGGCTTTGCTGCTGCTGCTGAGCATACTCCTGACAAAGCATGTCAAGATTCAGCAGAAGTCCCACAACGCATGCTCCAAAAAAGGTTAGATGCTTCCCTCAAATACACCCAGCGGATGCCTGGAACTCTTTTTCCATCTGCTCAATCTGCTCGAGGGTGGCTGACCTCGAGCTGCTCAACCCGCTTTGTCTCATTGCGGTGCCGAAGTGCAAAAGTCCGGACGCATGTGTTCCACAAACCATGGGTCAATGCCTCCATGGCTTCGAATGCATGCACGTCAAAGAATCTACCGCGGCAAAGTATAGCATTTGTCTCGTTTGCCGGGGCGCTTGATGGGCATGATCTTCGGTTTGCAGAGGACTTCTGAAAGGTTGCCCTTCCTGAGCTGCATGGCAAAAATCAAAACGTGGCAGCAACAATGTGCCGCCTCTTCTGCCAGTCCACCATAAGAATCGCAATTTCAAGCATGTATGCCCGCTGTACGGATACAAGGTTCCATTATACCTGGAAGCAGCTGCCTTAACCTGCAAGACCTGGTACATGTGCAGTGAAGTGAATCCAGTCTCAGCGCGCTTGATAGCAAACCTGCCCCTGCTCCAAGTTGTTGCAGCTGATGAAGCAACCGAGAGGCTCGGAGTACACTAGCCCCGCTTTGGGCCTTCATCAAACGCTTGGAGACGATCATGTATGCAATGATTGGTGCTTTACCAGGTTCACTGGATGTTCTTTCTTAAGCAAGCCCCAACACCCCTAGTAAATTACGCCAGAAAGACAAAGCTTTTTACAGCGTGCGCGAGCGTATATGCTTGGGTTTCTGGTGAGTGGTGAATCTGTCAGTATGCGTCTATCCATTTTCATGACCTTTGTCACGTGTGTTGTAGCGCATGTGGCGCCGTCACGTCTTAACCCGTATTACTGCTGTGCTTTGCTCTGTCCACTTCGCACTACAAGTTGAGGAGGAATAAAATGCAGCACGGTGCCGCGTGCAACATCTACAGCTGCTCATGACATTTTTGCCCTTGAGTGTAAGAACCCTGCCGTGGCGTCGGATCCCAAGAACGAGGGGGCGCAGCTGCTGAGTGCTATTTCTTCCTACGGCAAGAAAACCTCAAAGCTAAGTCCACATAGACTTGCAGTCGGCAGACAGCAGAACCCCTCTTAACATCGTCCAACACTGCTAGATCAAGCAAACGGAGCGAATAAGATGGCAAAAGCCGTACATGCGATGGCTCATGTAAAGCTAAGGTTTGAGATAGTGAAGAGGTAAACAAGACATCCGAGCTTCGACTCTCGCAGCAAAGTGGCAAAATCTCTGGGATCACCGTGTGCTTTGCAGCGTCGTCCATACTGGCTTGAAGGGTCTCGGAAGGTCAGCCGTCAGCTTGAGCAACAGATCTGCAGACCATGCACTTTGGACGCCAGGAGAATTACGGGTGTTGATCTAAACGTCCTGTCGGAAATTGTTTAGGGTTCCTGTGGGTCTATAAGGGAGTATATGAGGGACATGATTTTTTTGATAGCCGTTTTAAAGATGAATTTTGACCAACTACCTCATGCCGAGCGCATTCGATGTTCCAGCACCATGATATTCCAACATGTCACAGGAGGAGAGCGCGGGCGTCTCACGTTGGGGATGCCAAGCACAAGCAATCCCACGAGTCCCAAAACGCAATAATGTTAATCTTACATTGTAATCCTGGTAAAAGTGATACTAAATAAGAATTGCAATAAAAAGGAACATCAAGCATGTGGTGGCCAAGCCCTCCGGACCAATTCTCAGTTGCAAGTTGCTCAAGCCACCTGTTCCTCAATTATTGTACAAACACCCCAAACCACCTGCCCGAACGATCCTGGGGCCGAAGTGCATGGTTCATTGGAAGCCCAGGAGCCACTTCTGAACAGATCCCATCAAGCAAGCCAGGTTCTGATGAACCCACCAGTTTAGGTTTGGAAATGACACCGTATATAATCCCGGTGTCCATTCCATTTGCCATTTGATTCTCCAGTACAACCCCCCTATATAACCTAATATAACCCCTTTAAGTCTTTTAATTCCCTCCAGACAAGAGGGCTCCTGACTTTTGAATCTCCTGGACCACAAATACAAACTGGGTGGCTGTTAATTAAGGAACCCAAATTAAGTTATCATAATAAGTAATGATGGGTATCTAGTAACTCACATGTTTCCCCAATATAGTAAGTTAGATTAAGTTCCTGAACAGCAACCCAGACAAAGGGAAGCTAAGAGCAGCACTTCCGGAGGGCCTGCTCGCGGATGCCTTGCAGAGTTCCGTTGACATCTATTTTGGGGGCTTCCCAAAGTTGCGGGTACCTTTTTTGGGGGCCCCAATAAGAAGGATTTTTGCATTTTGGAGTCTGCGTTGGGGTCCACCCCCCCCATTGTTGGAAACTGCAATTTAGGGGACTGGGAAGTCCAAGACCTCTTACAAAGTTGTTTGAAGTCTCTCTCTGGCTGGGCTGCAACATGTCACCGTCAGAAGGCCTGCACACCAGGACAAGTCTAAGCTGACGGCACCGATCTCAGCTGCCTGGATGGAGAGAGCCTTGCTTCGCCAGGGCCGGCTT